TCTCACCTTACAGATCACAAACTCGTGAATTCCTCGCAGCATGGATTTCTGTCTAGGAAATCTTGTATCACGTGTCACCTAGAGTTCTTCGAACACATAATTAACGGTAGAGACGATGGAAACGTGGTTGTCTCGCTTTACTTCGATTTCGCCAAGGCTTTTGACAAGGTGCATCACCCCTCACTCCTTCGGGAACTGAATTCACCTGGAATAAGTGGCGAGTTGCACGACTGGATCGGCTCATCTCTGGTGAACCGCATCCAAGTTGTCAAAACAGGCTCATATTGTTCCCCCTCCAAAAATATCATCAGTGGAGTTATCCAAGGCTCCGTTCTCGGACCCCTTCTCTTTATAATGTATACAAATGATATATGCACCTGCTTTCAACCAGGGAAAACCTTCCTCTTTGCAGATGACTTGAAAGTGGTGTACACTTTTCACTCTAACCATTGTAGCAGCATCAGTACCACCATACAAAAAGATCTCGACAAGCTACAAAGATGGTGTGACACGTGACTGCTACCCCTGAATACACAGAAGTCCGGCTTTGTGCTCCTCGGTGAACAAAGCGAGCCAACCAATCTTCGACTGAACGACATTGCGCTCCAACAGCTCAAAAGTATTTGCGACCTTGGAGTAAGGTACTCCAGTGACTTTTCCTTTACAGAACACGCAACGGCACAGTGCTCCAAATCACGCCGCCTCATTGGCTTCATTCACCGGAATTTTCGCCTGAATGAAACCGAAGTGATTCTATATAAGATGTGTGTGCGGCCACTACTAGAGTACTGTCCTATCACACTTAGTTGCCTGCGGTCCAGTGGCAATCAGAAAATAGAGAAAACCCAATGACACTTTACCAGACTTATTTCCCCAGGTAATTCGTACAAGGGCAGATGTCATGCTAGTCGGTTAGAGCCTATGTGCTTAAGGAGAATAGAGTTAAACCTCAGCATTTCCTATAAAGTCCTACACCATGAAGTGACTACTCATGTGGATACAGTAAAGTTCGCTGGCAAAAAGCCCTATAATCTTGGAGACCAAGACTGCCCAGTCACACTACCATATGCGTCGAAACAGCTCAAGTCTTCATTTTTCACAACTCGTTACACTAACATTTGGAACAGACTGCCGCATGATGTCCGACGCTGTAAGACCGTTTCTCAATTTCAGTCGACCTTGGATCACTACCTCAATGAACTTGGAGTATGCAGGACTCTTAACGTACCCTACATAGACGACACCATGTTCCTTATCGGCCCACCAAATATCTAGAGTCCAATAAGCAATAATCCAATGCAACCACCCAAGAATTTATCAAACGATGAGTTATTTCGGTTGACTTACATAATATTCTATGCAAATTTGTTGTAATTGTTTTAATGCTAGTTACTGCCCCTAATCTCAGTGCCGCTATAGCTCAGCCACTCTTAAACCCCCTACGACCAAACATCCCACCCGCCGTTCCCTTTTTTCTTTGTAATAAGCTGGGGGTCTTTGTGCTGTATGGTAGTACAAGTCAGTTTTGCGTGATAGATCAAGCTTGACTATTGCATGCGTAGAGGTGTGATGGTCATAAGTGTTGCCTGACGTGTGGTATGTAAAAAGGGGCGATTGAGTCAATAGTGTATGCACGGTCTTGGCCAGCTGACAGTGAGCTGGAAATATCGTCGTAACCATCAACTCTATTGAGCGTAGCACAAAAAACTGACCAAGAGGCATGATGGTAGGGAGATAAATTTGAACCATCCTTGCCTCTATGGCGGTATCTTTATGAAACCTACGGCTCTTGTACTTATGACGACAAAATAATAGCAAAAAGAATGAGGTTAACAAAAAAGGTCCTCCAGGTCTCCAGCTCGGCTCACCACGCACCATCATATTGTCTCTATAGTCCTGATATGGTAAGACTCAACAGGCAACACCATGATCACCCCTCCCTCTTGACTATATAAAGAGTGGTTACCAGCACAGCAAAAAGCGTGAGTTCCATTTAAATGTTCATAACTTCAATGAACTTTTGCACATAGGTTTTTCACACATAAGTGAATACCTGGTCCAAAATCTTCTATTCTCTCTTTCCCATAGTGATATCTTCGGCATCGGTTTAGTTCCCACTACTTTTGTATGCACCTTCATCTTCTCATAAGTTTATCTATAAACAGTAGGTTTGATACCTCTTCAAGTAACTTTTGTAGTCAGTACAATGAACTCACCTACATGTGTCATGTGTGATGTACTTTTGTGCTCCTGTTCCGGTTTTCGTCTGCTGCTAGCTTTTGTTATTCATTTTTCAGGTTTACCCAACCAGCTCTTGATGCATGTGGAATCCTAGTAGTTTAATTTGTCAGCGCGCACTATGCCATCTAGACCTTATGATGAACGCATAAAGCCCAAAGTCACAGCTGTACTACCCGCCCTGCCCTCAAGAATATTGGAAGATTCAAACAATAGCCGAATGTTTCCTACTTTCGAACTGAGCCTGCCTCGGTATGATGAACAGTTATGCTAGTGTTTATCTGTTTCATTCTTTGCTGTCTGTAAAGCATTAACATTCTTACTCTAGACGCATCTTTTATGTACCAGAAAGAACGGTGTCCATTGTATAGCTTTAGATTGTACATAACAGTCAGTTCACATTACCAAAATGATCGGACCTATAAACTGGTTTGTTTTCGTGTGACTTATGTTGTATGAAATATATTATTATTATCACTCCCAACTTTAGAAGTTTGTCGAATTTCTGTTTTGCTATCCGCAGCTCCTTAGGGTCGAAGCATCGAGGTTTTGCTGAGACTGGAGGACATTTTGTAATAATATGGTGCGTCACCGTGTTTTGGAGAGAACGTAGTGTAATCGGTTTAAGTGAGCTCGAGAAATTCCCGCAGAAGAATATGGTACTCGGAAGTGCTGTTAATTGGAGCTACGACTAGGTTTGTTGTTTTTGTCTCCGTAACGATACCCGCGATAAAAAATTCACTACTACTGCTGACTAGTCTATGGCGACTAGAGTCGACCAATAGTTCGCAGTGGTGAAGGAAATCCATACCAATGATAGGCTACGATATGTCGACGGTGACGAATTCACACCGGAATTCTGTGTGGAAGCCAATGTCTAGGACCAAAGTCCTGGTTCCATATGTAGTAATAGCAGATCTATTTGCCGCTTGCAGTACCAAGGTCGGGCTGGGATGGCGTTTTTCGGAAGGTGTGGGTGGGGTCGCGCTCACTTCCGCTCCAGTGTCGACCAGAAACTGAGCTCCAATCTTTATATCCGTCACTCGAAACAAACGTCTGTGTTGTTGTACGCTGGCAACAGCAGTCGACACTGATCATCAGCCTTTCCGTTTCCCGACGAAAAGGTTTTTGAAATCACATGGTAACAAAAAACGATGTGCTTCACTGCCAAACTTCTAGTGACACCAGCACGCCCTACGTTTTGACGCAATTCCATTCGTGGTCTTATCACGACTACGGGATCTACTTCCATTGAACTTCTGTGACCGTCGGTTTAACTGTAAAGCCATTAGTTGTCTTGTAGGTACGTCGATCTTCCTCCCTAAAGCAGCTACTCAGTCATTTTGCGTTGGCCCAGCAATACCTTCAACCTGTCTAGGCATCCTTTCGTACATACGGTCAGCGATGTCAGCCAACCTATCAATGTCAGTGTCCGCATCTCCGACAGCTGGCATCTGCTGAATGCATGAAGGAAGTCTCCGCAGCCAGAGCTGGTAGAGTAAACGGTTGTCTACGTTCCTATCTTTCAGCAGACTTTGCATATGTCGCTTAAGTTGTAAAGGTGTTCTGTCACCGAGGCATATGCTACTTAGTAGTCGATCGACAGCCTTCTGGTCAGATAACGAAGTGGCTTTCAGCACCTCTTGCTTCAAAACATCACAAGATGTGTCAGGGTGAGGCTCTATTAGTGTCTCCCTTACTTGTTCGGCCGCTTCTTTTGGCAAGGCGGGGCTCGTATACCCGAACTTTTTATTTTATGAAGTCGTATGATTAGCCATGAAGAAATGTTCTAGACGGGCAAACCACAACAGCGGGTCATTAAACTAAAAACAAGGCATAAGAAGATTAATGGCACCCACGTATCCTACATTCGAAAAGTCTTGATTATGATAGTCTAAAGGCATCAGTACTGGTACAGCAAAAAAAACAATAAAACTTTAAAAACAAGAGTAGGAAAAATGCAATAAACAAGCGCGTCAATGCTTACCACAAAGCAGCCAGAGAAATTCTCAGCATATATATATATATATATATATATATATATATATATATATATATCCGTACTGCATACAGTTATTAATGACTGGTTGCAGTATCCATTTGGAAACAACAACAATATCCATCCCTGAAACTTGTGAGGGTTTAGTCACTTCAGGGTCACCAGTTTGTCGAGCTCTGAAATCTGACTCCAAATTTATATACGTGTCCAGATACACTATCGCCTAACTATAAATCCCGAAACTGCTGATCCACCTGCGTCAGACAGTGTTAACGTGAAGTATATATCAGGATGTTGTATTGGTCAACGAGTGAGCTAAAAGTCTTTATCAGTACAACTAAACAAAAAATGTTTTGTGAGTTGTTACATATACCAACACAATACAGTGAAATAAAATGCTACACTTACCTATTTGACATGTGGCTGAGTTCTCTCCAGAACTAATTGGATTTTCTTATTTTGACCATCATTTCTCCTCTCTCTTTACCTGTACACAGGTTAACAACCGCAAGAAGTCGTGATCCACGGATTTTAGACATGGAAGCCAGTTAAGCGAAAGCTTCTATTCCATCAACCACCATTTGAACCGTTTAATTTTTCCATGGACTGAATTGTTATCAACTGGAGAGAATAGGTTGATATGAAGGATATAGAATCAATAGCAAGAAAATCAACTGATTTATATTAGTTTACAAACTAGACGTTGCATATTAGATGTCTTTGTTGACAAGCTCTAGAGTTCAAAGGGGATGTTTCGGCGCTGTTTTTGTTTTGCATGTTTTGTTTACGAGGTGAGACGTTGATGTCAGTCAAATCACTAAGGGATTTTTTGAATACATCTCAGAAATTATTTTGTGCATCACAGCCATGTATTCGACCATGTGTATGTGGTTTGTCATTGACAAAACCCAAACGAAATGATCCACTTCTTTCTAGTACGACCAAAGTTTCGAATCTGAGTAAGTTTTTTTCTACGTGCATTACTTCAAGATGATACTCAAAGTTTTGATTTCAGAGATCCAAAGTTAGCCCACATCTCTAAGTCGAACTCCGAAATAATCCGTGCGCTTGCAGTTTTCAAAATGTGTTCATTTCCAGCTTTAGTGAAGAACAATAAAAGAGTAAGATAAAAGCTACTCTAAGTTTTCCAGCTTATGGAATTCTCTAGAAAGATAATGGGGAGACATCTGTTTCGCAAATTGATGATTATGACATTTTACGGGCATTTTGTTGCAGGAGAAGATGAAGCTGGTATTCATCCGTTAGTCATGCGTCTCAGGAAATATGGTGTCAAGTCAATACTGGATTATAGCGTTGAAAAAGACATAAAAGAAGATGAAGCAGTCAGCATCGTCAAGTTAGTTTCTGTTCTGACTGTACTTGGATGAGTTTTTAATTGACAGCTAACAATGAACGATCAAAAGTACTTCTTGCCTTTTGTGTTGACCGTATATGAAATGTACTTTACACCAATATTTAATCTAACTTCTTCCACAAAGCTTTAGGCGATACATGGGTTTAAAACACTTTTTCTCACTTTCAAAGGTAGAAATACAAGCCACAAAAATGACGTTCCTCAAATCACAACTATTTATATGTATCTTATATTTAGTAGTACTGAGAATCATTTTACAGTTCATGGAGAATCCCTATAAAGGCATGGGAAAGGAAAATTATGTGTTCAGAGAAGAGATACTTTTCAGCTTTTCATTCACTAAGCTATACAATCGCACTGACATACAGTTCTTTGGTGAGAGTGTACATTTTGTTTTGTGTGAAAGCAGTTATTTGAACATGGCAACAATCAAAGTAATACATATAAAAATGGAAAGAGCATTTTCATTCTTTCACTGAAATGTTTGTGGACACTGAGAATTGACTTAAAGGCAAATTAACGAGCGAAATGAAACTATCATGAACTAAAATTGCAGAGTCACATAGATTAGTGAGTATTGCTTGAAATATCATAGAAATGTAGAAACGGTAATCAAGTACGGATAACGAATTGATTGACATGACGGTGTATTTACTGGGCAAACTGTTGTCGTGTGCAAGGCAACAAGCGGCAGTTGACAATCTATAGGAAGTTAATGGAGTAGAAGAGAGGGGATGTTTTGATGGGCTAAGCGAAAAAGAAACTTGTCAAATTTCATCCGCTTTTGCTTATTTTCACCTCTTAAGTTTCAGCGGTCACAATGAAAAAACCATACCTTTGCATATCAGAGAAACTTTTTCAGGTCCTGGTCCTATCATGGCCTACATTTCTATGATATTTCAAGCAATACTCACTAATCTATGTGACTCTGCAATTTTAGTTCATGATAGTTTCATTTCGCTCGTTAATTTGCCTTTAAGTCAATTCTCAATGTCCACAAACATTTCAGTGAAAGAATGAAAATACTCTTTCCATTTTTATATGTATTACTTTGATTGTTGCCATGTTCAAATAACTGCTTTCACACAAAACAAAATGTACACTCTCACCAAAGAACTGTATGTCAGTGCGATTGTATAGCTTAGTGAATGAAAAGCTGAAAAGTATCTCTCCTCTGATCAAATTGTTTTCATTTTCTTGTATATCATTCCCACCCGAGTTCAGTGAAATATTACTGAATTAGGTTTATGCACATGGAGCTTGTTTTTTTATTGTGGACAGTTATTTAGACTTATTAAGCAAACTGAGGGGGGGGGAAGGTCAACAACAGTTAGTGAGACTATAGCGGAGGAGGACGGGTCTGGGATTCACTCGCAGGGGAGACGACTGGAACGATGGGCAGAACACTTCGAGGAACAGTTTGATTGGCCTCCAGCCACCATTACGTTGTCCACTATTCAGTCGGATCCTGAATGGAACATTGAGATAGGCCCCCCAACACTGGCAGAAGTCGAGAAAGCTGTAGGTAACCTGAAACGAGGAAGGGCAACAGGACCAGACGGACTACCTACTGAGGTATACAAGGTCAGGTAAGCGGAAGTGTTAACCAGTGTATGGAAATCAAATATAATCCCTCTGACTGGTCTAAATCACTGATTATCCCAGTCTCCAAGAAAGAGGAGAAGTCCTCTTGTGATAACCACAGAGGAATCAGCCTGACGAACATAGTGTCCAAGATCCTAGGTTCTATAATTCTCCGACGCCTGAGTGGAGCCCGGGACCAGCAAGCCCGAGAAAACCAAGCAGGCCTTAGACCCGGCCCCGGGTGTATTGACCAAATATTCACACTGCGCCAGGTCCTGGAACATAGGCATGCTTACAGACGCCCGACAATAGCAGTATTTCTCTACCTGAAGGCGGCATTTGACTCCGTTGATTGAGAAGTCTTATGGCAATCTCTCTCACTGAAACGTGTGCTGGGCAAGTACATCAGCTTATTGAAGGCTCTCTAGTCGAACACTTCTGGGCGTGTTAGAACCTATGGTGAGATGTCCAGGGAGCTATGCTCATTGAGTGGTGTCGGTCAAGGATGCCCACTGTCTGCATTCTTATTCAATTTCATTATAGATATTCTCATGGAGGTCTCCGTCTCACCACCAGGTTACACAGACGTTGACCTAATCACAGGAGAATTTTCGTTAGACCTAGAATATGCAGATGACATAGTCGTGTTAAGTGAAGACGCTGACAAGATGCACAGTCTTCTGAACACTTTGATTGGGAATTTGATAATATTTGGGATGTTTTTCTCACCACCCAAATGCAAATTTTTGCTCCAGCATTGGTCTTCAGCGGTGCCATGGCTAACAATAGAGAGTGAAGGGATTGAGTGTGTCGACCACTTCACCTACCTGGGAAGTAGGATCAGCCCTGGTTGGTCAGTTGCCGATGAAATCTCTGCACGGATACAAAGGGCTTGGTTGGCTTTTGCCAATTTGCTCCACCTATGGCACCGCCGTGATATTCGTTTGCCTACTAAGGGTCGCGTGTGCTGCACAGCAGTCCGGTCTGTTCTACTGCGTTGCTGTGGAACATGGCCATTGAAAGCGGAAGAAGGCTTCAAGTGTTTGACCACCGTTGTTTTCGTAGTATAAGCCGTATTCCATGGTGTCACCATTTGAGTAATGCAGAAGTCAGGCATAGAGTTTAAGGGAGTAGAGATAAATCAGTAGACGAGGTTATGAACCTTCATCGATTGAGATGGTTAGGACACGTACTAAGTATGTCTAGTCACCGATTGCCTCATCACACAATGTTGGCCGAAGTAGGTTCAGGCTGGAAAAAGGCCCGAGGTGGCCAGACTAAAACATGGCACCAATGCATGAAGTCTCTGACTGTTGGTTTGAGCCATATGGGGCGATGCAGACTAGGTGGTTGGGGTCGGCGGGACAAGAAGAACCAGTGGTTGGAGATTGACTCTAGGTGATATGGCTCAGAACCGATGTCAGTATCGCAGATATATACACACATTATCCCCATGTTAACGACTCTATACCGAATCTCACTATTTTGTCATTCTTCCTTTCTTTCTTCTCTTACTTTATATTTCTTTTGAGTGAATTTTCTTACCTTCATCTTTCACCTCACTACCTTTCCACTTGATGCACTGATATGAGCTGTGTCAACTAGGACCGTTACGCAATAATGCCTGGTCGTATATTGATGGTGATGATTATATATTTTAAGTTGAATATGCATTGATGAAAACAACTTATTCATCTTCTGACCCATCATTTTAATAGCTATGTCTATGTTTACGTTTTTTAGGAATGTTGTTGTGGCTTGACAAAAATACTGCAGGAGTTGAAAAGTATTTTTTGAAGTTAGTTTACACACTTCACAAGCGATCGGACTGACATCACGAAGTAATACCTTTCAAATTTCCTAGAAATTGTGTTAAGGCTAGAAAATAATGCGGGATGCTTTGTATTTTTTGGATTAACTTGACCTTTTTTTTAATTCAGATGTAACTGTGGTGAAGCATAAAAGTGACTGATACTTTGGAAGTTAACTTAAGTGATAACATAGTCTTAGTCCTAATCGAAGCTATCAATTTTGAAGTAAGGTTTGGGACCTAACCAGTGGTACGCTAAGAAAGTAACCACCGGTGGAACACTTAGAACCATACTGATAAGAGGCAGTAGCATCTCTATTGTTCCAAGAGAAATCTCAAAGCTGATTCATATTCGTTGCAAAATATATTACGAATGAATCTGCCATCCCGGCTGAGATGGTCTTCTGGATTTTAGTATGTCTGTCTGTCTGAATGTTCATTATCAGTCGACAAGTTAGTGATTATGGTAACAAAAGCGTTTTTTATAGGTCTTCACAAATCATTTTGAAGGGATTAGAATATTGCGATGAAGTCACCTCACATTGTTTTGCGTGATGATTAGAATAACTTTACAATTTTGAACCTCGTACACCAATGTTTCGAGGTCCAGTTATCTTCCTTTCACTTTGCAGTGGTTTTTCGAGAAATTGTGATGATTCTGCATACACGGATTAGATGGTCAATCTAAAGATTTGTACACCAGTACAAAGACACTTATACCTGTTCAGTTCAACGACATGTGTATTAGACACCGTCCTTATATCTGTGCCAGCAACTGTGAAACATTTTCAAGCTGTTTGCAAGTACTAACCCTTAACGGTAGATAGACAAATCAACGAACAAGTTGCTTTGTTTCACAGCAGCATGAAAACAAGAAAAGGCTGAAGAATAACAGTACATTGAGCCAAAGTGTATGATTGGAAAGAGAATAAACAGATTTAAATTGATAAAAATCTCCAGAACTGCAACGATGAGGTGAGTGCTTACGTTTGCTCTATTTCAATCGAATTTTGGATGTGAAATTGACAGTCATCAATTGTTGGTTTCCAACATCTTACAGATCTCATTCGGGCACTTATGGCTTAGGCTGACAGTCAGGTACTTCATGGATTGATACCAAACGGTGACCTGACTATTCTTAGTTCCCTTGAAACTCAAGTTTACTTCAGTTAACATCTCACGTCGATGTACGTGGCAAGTCCACATGTGTAACACACGTTCAGACCATCTTTGTTGGTAAAGGTCTGCAAACCTTCTGACTGGCCTCCTTCGCTTTCTAAATTTTCTTCACATATTGGTTCCACCATATGGAAGAAGTGTCATGGAGATGCCTGTGGCCAAAAATGTTTACATATCTCCTGCTTCCAACGACCATTTCTTGTAGCAGTGAAGCGTAACAAAGAGAGCTGCTACTAAGTATACTGGTCCTTTGATTTGTAGTTGGATACTTAGACGGAGCCGTAGCTGGTGAAAGTCGGGAAATGCTGAGTGAGTCTTATGTATCCAGACCAAGATTTTACAAGAAAGCAACCCGCTTGGGCTACCACGACTTTTCACGTGAGTGAAGTGGTAAAGGTATCCCATCACT